CCCCAGGGACCCCTAAATATAATAAACATCCTCATCTGTAATTATTTGTAACACATAGAACAAATTCTACAGCTATATTAAAGAAAGCTTATAATGCACTAAGTAGGAACTGTAACACCTGAAACCTCCAAAGCATGGACCAATTTCTAACAAAAGGAGACTCCTTCAATCCACCAGGAGATGGTACTTCCTCTCAATGTTTAGCACCAGCAGCTGCCAGGTGACCTCAGGACTTCTGTTTTATCCAGCATGCCAAGTAGTTCCTAGCAAGCTACTAATGATGGAATTAATCTTCATTTCTTCTAAATGGTTAGGATAAACAGGCTGCTAATATCTGTGTCCAAAATATCCTTCCAACAGTTCAATGATGATCAGCTAGAGATCCTTATATAAAAATTATTCATTAGTTAAATTCCATCAAATACCTTTTAGACTTGCTTTTATTGTACACTGAGGCTCTGCAAAGAAATTAAGTATATCTTACTTTCAGATTTAATGTAGCCCTTTGACTGATTTGTTTTCAAATTTCAGTAAGTGTAATATTTGTGTTAATAAATTAATTGGTTAAATTACTGTGACTCCTCCCCTCTTCCTGCCCAGCAGCACATGCTGATTCTAAAGGTAATTTTGATAGAGCTTATAAACTGCTGTGAAAGTTTGGTGACACCATCCACTGCAACATATGCACACAATTTCAAATACAGCTTTTGGAAACACTGAAATATTTGATACATCGCAGGAACAAAACGAAACATGTTTGTGAGAGGATAATTGCATCAGCTCACTGTGAACAGTCTTGTCAGGACAAACCTGCTGCTGCACGCCAGGGAATGCCCGAGCCCGGGGCAGCAGCCCTGGCGTGTCAGGGCCCCTCCCCTGGAACTGCAGCTCCCCAGCTGAGCCCCACAGCCTGCTGCCTGCCAAGCAAAACTACTTGCTCTGTTTACACTCCTTATCAGCACACTCCCATTTCACCAGCAATGAACGTGTGCCCATGAAATGCAATGCGTGCTCCCCTCCGAATGCACAGAGGTCACTGTCAGGGTGCACTGCTGCACTGACTGGCTCGGGAACCAAGTGCAGGCTGCACTGCAGCTGGCACTGGGCACGGCTCAGAAATGAGCCAGCCTGCTGGCCGTGACATACCCTCAGTTTTACAAAACTCAGAAGACTTCAGGTAGGCACATCATTACTCAAACTGACTGTTCAGTACCTGAAGTGTTAAGTTGTTAAGTATTTACTGTGCTGCCAAAAGGGCTTGCATTCACATCACGTTCTGATGCAGCCCAGTGTGCCACTGAAGTTCTTCTGTTAAAGTGTTAGTGACAAGCTGCTACTATAAACACGGCATTTCTCAATTTAATTAGCAAGTATGTGCCTTTTGGATTCCAATAGCACTTGAGTTTCCTGGGTCCCACACAGCAGATAACTGGCAAAAAGAAACAGTTGACTGTGAGAGTTGTCCAGCCAACTCCCACCCCAGTGGTTGGGCAGTGTGCCTCATGAAGTGAGTCTGAGAACTGACCCTTGCTACACTTTGGTATCTACCTGCATCAGCACATCTGGCAGCCCAGAACAGAACCCGTAACCGCTAACCAGTAAAGACAGATGGAATGTCAGTGGCAAAGGTGCCTGTGTTTGTAGGGGAGGCTGAACAGCCCAGTGGCTTCTCCACAGAAACCCATGCATGTTACAGCATGAAACAAAAGTAAGAGGATGCGACTGAAAGTCTGCATTGTTCATGCCATGCTATCATCTCTGATCGTGTAGTGTATAACTTGGGTAAAAATATTTACTACTTCATGGAACCCTAATCATGTATCGTGTCAGGTTCATTCTCAAGAAGTTTGCAAGTGCACAGGATGCCATCAGCATCTTAGAAGTGCTGAGCACAATACTCATTTATAAAAACAGTTATGAGAAGTAATAATTTTAACAGTCGAGTAATCTACAAGCACACAAAACTCAAATAATATTGAAATATGGGTTGCCACTGATGTAGTGCCTTCTTCTCCACCCATTACACTGCAGTCATTTGGGATCTGCAGATCCGCTCTTCTCATTTCACACTCCTCTTGAGAGCAAAACAGCCATCAGCTCCTGTCTGCAGTTTCCATTTACAGTACAGTTGTCATGCAGGTGTCTACCTTCTGGCTGCAGTAACAGCATGGACCATGCTTCTCAAAGAGCAGCCTTCCTCTGGCATGCTTATGTAGGTGACAGTATGATCCCTGGTGCCTACCTCCAGATGGTACATCCAGGTGTACATCTACACAGCCTGCACTCTATACTCTGCCAGGGGGCCAAGAAGATTGACTGAGAACCTGACTGTGCTGCTGCAGTTGAGGCTGGTGGAAGGCACTGATGTTGCATTTCCCCTTCCTTCAGGCTGTCACTGGTGCCTCAGGGTGAGCTGGCTCAGGAGGACTTGACTGACACTCCAAGCATCTTGAAGCCCAAGCTGCAGCCACCAAGGCAGGCATGTGCTGCTGCTGGAACACCTGTGACCTCATGTCTGCAGCTCCACCAGCAGCAGGAGTCCAGCATAGAAGTGGGTAAATCAGAGGCACTCCTATGATCACTGAGGTCAACAAAACCTCCAGATGGACCTCTGAAATTAAATGCTCCCAAACGTTTTCACCACATTAAAGGAGGTTAAAGCACTATCCTTGAAACAAAGCATTGTTGATTTCCTCAGAGATGGAAGTCTTGAACAAAGGATAAAAATAAGAAGGCATCTGCATCTTAAGCCTTAGTTCTGCTTGCTTTTCGAGTTTTTATCATTGCTTTGTTTTTTTAATGTAAGTCTGTCAGACAATTCTTACATGTGGCCAGGAGAAACATCATCTTGCTCTCTAAATAATTCACTTAGTGTTTCCAGGAGCAGGCTGTTAGCTGCCCTGACCAATCTCTCAACACAGCATTCAGTTCCCCAGCCTTCTCCCTGTGTCCTCTTTGTGGTTAATATCTTGTCAGCCTTAGTGCAACATTTACACCCTAGTTTGCAGAAACCTAGGGGCCTTCTTATGGCTTTAACTTGTGCTGCTGTATTTGTGTCTGCTGTGATACTGCTCCACATGATTGTTTTACCTTGATTCTTTCAACAGTTCTTCTAACCACACTAGAAGCAACTGGTTGCGAAAAAATGAAAGCATCTAATTCAAATAGATTAATTTATTTTTCAGCTTCTCACGTATCTCTCAGAAGGGATACCCACATTAAAGAATAAATATAAAAAATCTAGCCATGGCCCCACACCTCAGAACATACTGTCTAAACCAAGTTTTAGTCCATGTTCCTCAGTAAAAAAATGAAACATAGCATCATTCCCATCTATCCAGAACCAGATTCAGCCAGAATAAGAAAATTTAGAAAAATACAGTGGTCAGAGTACAGAGGTGTCTGTAAGAACTAAGAATCAAACTAGGCTTTTACTTTAAATGTGTAAAAAATTTCATTGGTAATTATGGAAAAATTATGGCCCAGAAAGGAAGAGTTTGAAGGGTTTATCTAGATTCACAAATGTACTCATACTATACTACCAACCAACTTACATGCTAGTATTTTCGCATCTTGGCAAATGATAGTATCTGATAGAAGCACAGGATCTAACTCATTGTGCAGAGACTAGTAATTGTACATTATTTCAAAAATTACACAACATTATTTGTGGGATAAGCTAACTTGGTGTGCTTCCTATGCAAAATCCGCTGGACTTGGGACATAGAACAACTTTGTCCTCTGAATTACTCAGGCAAATTCACTGAAAAAGGACATTCAAGACTGAATAAGAAGTGTTTGGAGGCATGAAATAACTTAAACTTTTTACATATTCTTCCATAGGAATTTTAACATTTTTAGCTTTCAAAACAAAATCTGAGCAACAGGCTGGAGAAATGTTTTGATCTAGAGGGAAGACAGGCAAGCCTGAGGGGTATAAAAAGCCATCTTCTCCAAGGAATATTTTTGTTAATATTTCGAAGTTTCTTGAAAAAAAATTCTCATTCTAGTAACACTACTGTCAAATGACAGCTCAGGTCAAGTATTTTGATGTATAAAACCAATTGTGCTAGCTGGTACAACACTGGATTTAAAAATAAATTAAATAATTGACTCCTCTTTCTTAAGTTTTTGTAGGAACTACTTTCCATTTAACTTGCAGAAATATTTATTTATGGCCACAGGAGGAAACAATTTGGGGTGATACCTAAGTTTATTGCTGAAAGAATATAAAAACAAACAGTGTTTAAGGCAAGTAGTGATAATGTTCAGAGCATAGTCTCTATGTACATGGCAACATGAAATTTGCTGTAGCCTGGAACTCAGGTATAAATGTTTCATAAGAGAACACACTGTTATCGAGGCTTTCAGATGCAAGAGCTACCAATCAGTTCATATGCTTGAGATGAATGAGTGTCCAAACATATTTAGAGTTAAAAAGTTTGCTAAGGAATTAAAAAAAACCCAACAGATTACTAGTAACAGCTAAAATATTAGCAAAATGCTTTGGTAGTTACTGTCACTGTATGGGAAATATATCGGGTATGTTTCACTCTATTTAAATATCCTAATGATACACAAGATGTTCCGTGGAAACAAACGTAACAACAGGAAGTATTTCAGAAAAGCTGGATGTAACTAAATAATTCAGAAAAAAAAACATTGTAATTGGGTTACTCTGCATTTAATTAGCACTGTTACTTTGATACAAGTTTATTATATTACTCTTTGGTGAAACCTTAAATGTAAAATTCAACATATTTAAGAGAGAACTTAAAGCTTTACATACATTCTATTGAAAATGTAATCAATTATTAGAGGCCTCTTTCAATTGTCCCATAACTCTTTATAGCAAATCTGCTTCCTTTTTTTTTTACATTTCAGATATGAATGGAAGGTGAACAGCTGTCAGTGATAATATATGTATGTAGGAGAGAGGGACCACTAAAAATCCCTTTGATTTATGGGGCATATGAAAGTGAAGTCATCAGGACTTGTACCTTGTGCTGGCGATACTTGGTGATTCTGCTCCAAGCCTACATCTTTCTAGCTGATTAGCCACAATTTGCCTTTCCACCTCCAGTTCTCTGGTAAGTCTTTGAAATTGGAGCTCCTGAAATTTCAAAATAAAAAGAAAAGCATTCTTGATGTTAAAAAATGGGTGTGGATTATTTTTGAAACAATCACTGTTTCATCACAATAATGTCTCCTGCTTTGATTCTTCCTTACTGGAATAAACTGTTAGAAGACTGAAGTGGGAATGTAATGGTTCTTTAAATCAGTGATTCATGCAATTATTGATTTATCACCTGTTACAAAAGGAAAAACATGTTTAAGCATTTGTGGTTTTTATTCCTCCTACAATTAATATTTTGCTTTCTCCTCAAGTTGCCACAATCTAACAAAATCAATGCCTGTAAAGTCAGTCTTCAATTTCACCTATAAACAAAGTATAGAGGAAAATACTGTAGCCGATCCTTTCCGACTGCAAAACTTCAAATGCCAATAAGCTACAGTGTTCTGCCTTCTGTATTCAAAAGCTTAACATTTATTATTTCAAACAGACAGAGGGTTGAGATGTGCCATTTCACCTTTCCTAATTTCAGCTTTTCTTATATTTCTTAGTCAAAGCCACCAAACCTCAGCCTTTGTAAAAGACTTCTGGAACATAATGCTCAGAGGAAGACAAGGGAAATACAAGCACTGCACAGGGTGATCATGAGATATTAAAATCTGGAAACATTTTTCAGAAACATGATACTCTGAAATCCAAGTCTAATACAGCACAGAAGCATTTCTTTAAAGAGCAAACTACTAATAAGGGAGCTTTTTTCTGAATATAAATCCTGTAATTGTATTGCATAGCAGTTGCATGCCTTGTCATATCACAGAAGTCACCTTCACTCACAGATTATAGTTAATGCAAACTGTTCCTTCACACCTTACATGACAAGAAATGGGGCTGAAATACTTGACTTGAATCAATGGTCCCTGAAGGAGCACTTTGCTTCTTGCAGTTAGTATTCTACTGCTCTATTAAGAACAGCTCAGCAGAACAGAATACTCTGTACTTCTGTTAAAAATGAATATGCAAACCGCAGGGACAGTGGGAAGGAGATGTGGTCCTCAACTTCCCCCTGGCCACCCCTCCCATTAAGTTGGCACTCACTGCCTCAGGAAAGCTCTGCACAGTAAACACACACAGAGGAAAGGGCATTTTAGGACATAGGTCCTAAACTTGGATTTTTTAAAAACCTGCCTTTAGACAGAATTATAAAGCTAAATACTTTCAATCCTGAGATCTGATCTGAAAAGCCTCATGAGGATGGCAACATGCAAAACACAGCAACTCTCATGGGCCTGTATATGAACTAGAAGGAACAGATAACATAAGGTTTGTACAACATGCACCTGCATCCAGCAGCAGAGACAGTTGTCACAGCCCAGCAAAAGGTCTTAGCATGACTCAACTTTATCTTTAATATACCAAGGAGCAAAGTCGGTTCACTTGGACAGTTTGTCTTCTGGAGAGAAAAAACTACAAAGTGTATTAAGCAAAAGAAGTAAAATAAATTTATAAATGATAGTTTGAAGTTTTAAGACCAAATGTAACTAATACAGCCATCTAGAGTGGATGTATTACCAGCAGTCAGTCACTGATGTGCTACTGGAGAATGCCAGGGTTTAAAACAAACATTCAGATGCTGAAGCTGTCAGTTGTGAAGCAAACATCAGCAAGACAAGCTTATCCCAGTAAACCATCATGTACTTTATAGCATGTAACAAAGATAAACGTTTAAAATAAACAGTATTGCAGTGCTTGTTTACAGAAAAAAATATAAGCCATTTACCCTATGTTTAAAGCTGTTTCATGGTCCTTACTTTCAAATCAATATTTAAGTAGCAATGTTACTGATACAAACTCTGAATTTGAACACAAGATTCAAGTTGCCTAGTGTTAATTACTGATCCTTTATTTAGGTGAATTAAATAAAATATATGCTAGCCATTATTTGCTTCTATTCGACCACTCTCCATTCATTTCCCTTTTCATTACAGGCAGATACATTGATGGAAATAACAGTATTCTAGGAAACATCTTTGTAACACAGGCTGTGAGAACCCATGGCCCTGAGATCCCTGCATTTCTGCAGGAAGGCATCTGACCAGGCAAACATCATCACAAGGCAACTTGTCTTTTTGTGTTTCCAGAAAAAAAATTCAGGACATCACCAAACCCTAGAGAAGGTAGGCATTGTCTAGAAAGCCTTTCTACTTGAAGTGAATCAATTAAAAAGGAGCATGTAACAAAGGAAACAGGACAAAGCTCCAGTTCCAACAGTAACAGTGGCAGAACTCAGATACACAAGAAGGAAAATAAAATCTGGGCTTGTCAACCAAGCTTGCATCTACATGATCACAGCTTTTCAAACCCATTTGTCAGACACTTCTACCCTAGAGGCATTTGAGATCAGCAGAAAAAAATATTATTTACATTTTACAAGTGTAAAATAATTACAGGTTTAAAAGACAATAAAGCCCCACTAAAATTAAAAGAATAACCAGTGCAAGAGAAGTCCTCTCGAAAACACTCCAAGTAGTGGCCCACTCCTCAAGTGTAACAACTGCAGAACTATTTTTTGCATCACAGAAAAGGGATCAAGATAAAATACAGATAGAGAAAGTGAAGGATAAGCTATTTTTTTTCCATTTCACAGTGTACTTTCTTTATACAGTATCAATAGGTATACAGTTTCCCTCTCACCCTCCTTGACAACTCCTCAGAGTAGATTCACATTCTTCATCTGGAAAATACAGGTCCAGCCAATCCCAATGACCATCCGAGATTTTGAGGGTTTCAGGCAATTAAAAAAAAAATAGGATTAGTGATAACTCAAATCTTAGAAAGGCTTGGGTTGGAAGGGGCTGTAGAGATCATTTAGTTCCAACCCTCAGGTCCCAGGGATATGTGTGTTCAGGTCCCTCACGTGCTCTTGAACCTGATTCACCACCTACTGTGGGTTGTCACACCAGCCTTGAGGCTCATGGGTTTGAGAGATGTGGGAAGACATTACCATTGAAAATTATGAGGACAAAAACTAACTTCTAAAAACTAAATTAATTACAGTTAATTTAACTGAAAGCATCATGGTAGGGAAAAGAGATCTGTTCTCTGATAAGTAATTTTCTAGCTGATACACAATCTCAAACACATGCAGCCTGGTCCCCACAGTGAAAGTGTGAGCCCTAGCTAGAGAATTATACGATTTAGTTTTCACTGGCAGAATGATGCAGAGATACACATTTAGTATTGGACTGTTGTATGGTCCACCCAAAATAGTTCTTAATACAGACTATTTTTCTCTTAGAAAACCTCTCATTTCAATATAAAATTAGTATAGGTAGTTGCACAACATCCACAATTGCAAATTGCCCATTTAAGTAAAAAGAAATATTTTTTCCCCACACTGCAAAAATCCAGAGCCAGGTGAAACTGAAGAACTGCACTTCCTTTTTTTATTGGGGGTGTGGAATAGGTGAATGCAACAAATGGACAATGTAGTAATAAATTTATCTTCATTTTTACTATGTTTAAGAAGCGAAACTTGGTTTTCTATCAGAAAACCGTGCTAAGTAGAAATAAGAGGGAAGAAACCACCAAGCCACGTTTGGACACTTCTGAGTTACTTGCACCACTGATTTTGGACCAGCACCACCAGTTGTCTATCTTCAATATTCTTCTAACTTCATATTTTGGTGCTGACTGCAAAGGTGTAAAGGGCATGCAACTTATTTCCCATTTTCAAATGATTCTAATGCTTAGGATATAATGTATTTTTCCAAGTGCAAGCAAAGCAGCAAAAAAATATTTAAAAAAAACCAACAAGGCAGCTCTATTTTCTAGTCTGACTAATGTTCTTATGTATGCAGCCTGGGGTTTCAAAGTAGCAAACTTATTTTTGAAACAATGACTGCTGGCTTTTATGTGTCTCTTCGTGCATTTGGTATTGTTTTAAGGCTTTTTTTCTTTTCATTGAAATCACAACATTACCGAAAACAACAGCCTAACCAATTCTAAATAGTTGCAATTATAATCTTTCCTATATAGTTTATATTTCCTTATAATGACATTTTCTCCCACTCTGCATGGATACCTACCAACACCCTGTTTATCTCTGGCAGCATATACCATTTATTGCAGGAATGTCATTGGATTTCTTCTCTACCAGCTTCTCTGACAGCAGTGGCAGAGAATGCTCCTCCAAGGGGATGCTCCCATACAGAGAAGCTGCTGCCTGAGGCAAAAGTCACAGCTAACTGATTTTTACAGTTCTGCCTTATGACAAAATGACATGATAGGAGTAAAATAAAACAATTAACAAGTGGGTTTTCATTTGCAGAAGAAAATCTATATGGCAAGAACATGCTAAAATTATAGATGTAGATTATGGAACACACTGCCACGCTTGAATCAAAAGCACCAACCAAATATTCTGGAACATGCACACTACCATGTCTTGCCCTGAGCTACTTTTTTTTCCCAAAATTATCCAATATACCTCAAGGGGAGGAATAGTCCTATAATACTATTCACCTGTTTAGCAGTAACTACTTAATCACATTCTAAAACTATAGGTTTTGTATTCATAACCTAAATTTCCCTGCAAAACCACGGACTATTTCTTAACATGAAGCTACAAAACCCACCAGCTTTAAATACAATTACGCTTAAGGAACAGGAAATACATACATGGCTGGAGAAGAAAGCAACTTGCTTTGGAAAGGCACCCATACAGACTGCAGGCAGACAAGATTCCAGGAGTGAAAACCAAAACCCATCAAATGTCAGCGCTGTGCAACTTCCTTTTGGACAAGCCCTGCAGGGGTGTGGACACTGCCCTGCACACCCCAGCTCTGCAGGCCAAGGACAACCTGCCTGTGACAACAGTGAGATCTCACTCTAAGAGACACATCAAGGTCTGAACAGCCACAAGATACAGATGAGACAAGTTGTACCAGCCCTGAGAACAAAACACTTTTCATTTCACAGCTGAGTAGCTCTGACAGGCTTGTGGCTCCCTGGCAAGCGAAAACAATTGCCAACATGCTATG